ACACACACTTCCCCTGGTCCTCTACATGTAACTGGCTGAACTGGAGTAGGTTCCAAAGTCAGCTGTGACATCCTGGTCTCTGCCAGATTAAGGGTATGAATTTAACCTTGGCAACGGAAAGTTGCGTCACCTCCCCGAACCCCCACAAGGGTTTGCCCTCGTGTGGAGCCCTGGTCAGACACCCCAGAAGCAATGGCCCTGGCGAGCATCGGGGGATCTTCCCACAACTGGGTAACTATCATTTATTCTTTGCAAGAGGACACTGAAGCGCAGGATCTAGCTGCACTCTAGAACGAAGCACTAGCACCAGAAAGGAGGTATTCCGAAAGTTAGGAAGTTGCTTTTGAGCGGCACCATTTCCCAGAGTTAAGAAAGCGGCACTAGTCACAGTCCTCACCTACCGGGAAGGTGAGGGGCCAGGGCTGGCGGAGGGGCTGAAGGACAAGCAGGTTTGGGCTTTAGCCATTTGTTTATTAATGTGTCATCACAAAAAAACCCACAGGTTCACACGCAGCTCACCATAACTCAGATCTCCAGGGAAAAACCAAACTGGGGGAAAAACAATTTAAATGCCAAACCACGTTTGTTACCACGTATCAGCAACCCGGCCCTTTTCCTCCCTGACTGCCCCCATCCGCCAGTCCTCCTGGGCATGGCAGTCAGCAGGAACCCTGACTTGAAGGTGTTAGTGACAGGGAGTTTAGTTTCAGAGTTGAGGAAGAGTGTCCTACAGCCAAGATGAGATTTAAGGGGGAAGCTGAAGCTCGGGGCCAGGAATCTAGTGTGTACCCTTCTGCCAACACAAGGGGGAAAGGTACTGTTTTAATCTCCCTGCTGCTCAACCTGACGCCAAGGAGCAGGCCGGGGTAGCAAGCTGCCCACTTGCAGACAGCATCAGAAAACTGCTCAGAGCCTGAAGCAAATGAGGCTGCTTGAATGGATGAGAACCTGCACTTGAACTTCAGTGCCCTTGGCCACTGCCTAGTTTCACGTTACTCAGCACACAGAAAAGAAGAACCCCGGACTCAGGACGAGTTCAGAGTACCTGGTGCTATAAGCAGCATGACAGGCAGGTTTCAGCTAGAATTTCCAGACACCTGAAAGTCAAGGTTACCTGGTCTATTCTAAGGCAGGCAAAACACTCATAGAGCAGGTGGAGACACCACTAGCCCAGGGTGGGGTAAAGAACTGGGGGGCTGGGGATTTCTAGCATCTTCTGTGCCCCCCCTTCATTCTCAAAGAAGGACTAGTACCAGCTAGGAAAAAAAAAAAAAAAGAGCAGAAAGACCTCCAAGGACAAACTGAAATTTAATTACTTGACGCAGTCCTGGTCCTATCTTCACCGGGAGCCTCACTGCCCTGATCCTCAAGCCTCCTGGGTCGATGCAACACTGACTTCTGTTAGCAAGTGCTTGTGTTGGCAGCTTCATCCCACTTAATGTTTGGTTAAACGGATCTGTCATTTTTGGGCAAATATGTTGCCATCTGACCGCAGTGGCAGTCTTTTAAGGTCATGGATGACCACATCGTTTTCAAAGTTGGGGTTCACTCTTCATTGTCCCCCTTCTAACACTGAAGCACCCTACCCCCACCCCCCCAATGTGGAACCGGCCTTGACTCAAAGCCAGTGAATTTAAATACGACTGGCTCCCAGGGAAACAGGAGCCGGTTACACTGCGAAGTGGCTTCTATTCTAACACAGCACAACCTGGATTCCAGCTAAGCCTTGGGGTTCAGTCCTGCCCCACCTGCTTTGTAGAGGACCAAAACATCACTTTCTAAAAGAAAAACACACCTGAAAGCATAATCTTCAGAAAAAGGTAAACCACTCCTCTTCTATGAAGCATTTTTGCATCAAGGTAACTTCATTGCTTATCAAAGCAAGGAGAAAGCAATCACTCAGGGCTCGGGGGGTTTCTGGCCACAGGAGAAACTTAAAATCAGGACCGCGGGTTAGATGAAATCACTTGAGGAACCAAGCTGGTTGGCAATATTGAGTTTCTTTGCCCTTGACACCCTAGAGTGATGCTTGCTGAGAGGTCGCACAAAAAGTTTCCACACACAAAATCCCTTATTTAATCTACTGGGAAAGCAGAACTTTCAGTGGCCTAGAACTTTCCCATTTACTAAGCTTGCTTTAGACTAGAGATTAATACTGTTTTCCTTCTAAAGTGCAGAATACAAACAGGTATGGTCAAACCCACCAGGACAGGGAAGATTACTCTTCATTCACTCAATCCTTCCCCAAACACACCGGAATCGATCACTGCCAGGGGCCTGGCACTGGACGCTCGGCCCCGACCTCGCGCACAGCACGGGGCCAGCAGCTTCCACACCAAAGCAACTGGAAGCCAAAGAACTCTGCTCACAGGAGCCGATCATCCCACAGGTCACTTGGTTCTACTGAAATTCCTGAATTCACCTGTCAAAAAAAATCCCAAAAAAACAACACAAAAAAAACTAGAGGGGGAAATCTCTACTTTTGAAAAACAGCAACGAGAAACAACAAATCAGCCCAAGTGCTCCAGAAAAACAGCTTGTCATACTTGGAATGTGATCGGAGTGGGTTTCCGATTAAAACATGGGAGACCCTCACGTCAGTTACTCCAAGGACCCTAGACTCAGCACAATCCTCAGTCTTAGGAAGAGAAAAACAAAAGTGATGAGTTGATGAAGAAAACACAAGTGTCCTTCAATAAGAACTCCTTAAGGAAAAAAACTGAACATTCATGTTTCCTATTTACACTCAC